GAGTACAAGGTGCCAGGCATGTCTGGTGCTGGGAGAGTGAAACGTCCAACACGGAACCTGAGCCATAGAGTTCGTAGTCAACCACGTATATGGTCAACAAACGATCATGTAAGACAGTGCATTCCCTGCTATGATGAGGAAAGCAAAGGGAGCCATAGGGATACACTGCAGGGGCATCAGGCCCAGACTGAGATGAGTAGGAAAGGTCTCCTGAAGGAAGGGATGTCTGAACTGGAATTTGGAGGATGAGTAGGAGTTAGGCAGCCAAAGGAGTGGGCACAGTATATCGAAAGGCCAGAAAACAGAAGAGAGCAAGGAATGATGAAGGGTATGAAGGATGTTGAGTGTTTCAGGATCGTAGCATTACCAAGGCAAGAGTGATGAGAGAAAAAGCTAGGGAGGCAGGCAGGGACCAGATCCTAATGGGTATCTTGAGCCATGGTAAGGATTAACACTGTATTCCCTATCCTCAAGTGCTTGTCCCACATCCAATTCCTCCTGATTACCTGTTGCTATGTCTGCTGATAAGGCTTAATACTCATGGGGGAGGTGAGGACAGGGTGCATTTCATTTTAGAAGGGACCTCAGAAGAGAAACAAAAATTATGTCTAAGAGAATGAAGCTATCATGGCATAATGGCCGTCAGTGGGAAGGACATTTTGGAAGCGAGGAATCCTGCCTAACTCCTCCTTAAGCATCAATGCGTATGTAGCTGCCTGCTTCTGAAACTCAGGGAACGCACTCTTTTGTTTTTCTTTTTTCTTTTTTTTTAAGATTTTATTTATTTATTTGACAGAGAGAGACACAGCAAGAGAAGGAACACAAGCAGGGGGAGTGGGAGAGGGAGAAGCAGGCCTCCCGCTGAGCAGGGAGCCTGATGCGGGGCTCGATCCCAGGACCCTGGAATCATGACCTGAGCCGAAGGCAGACGCTTAACGACTGAGCCACCCAGGCGCCCCATTCTTTTGTTTTTCATAAGAATCACGTAAACCAGTTTTTGCTCCATAAGGACACAGAAGCCATAATCTCGTGCATTGTGTCGAGAGAGAAGCCCACGAGCATGTAGGAGCAGTTAAAACAGATTTAGGTGAGGTGACATGTATGAAAGAGCCTAGCCCAAAGTGGACATTAAAGAAATATTTGCTAAAATAAATAAATAAATAAATATTTGCTGGACTTGCCGATACCATTTCAACTAACTATCCTCAGACGCTCACCCTTTCTGAGTGTCAGGCCCAATATGCAGTGAGTGGTGCAGAGAAGTACGTGGTCCGGCTCAGGAGTTCAGCATCTCCACTGTTGATGCTCACAGCTGTAAATGCACATGGCGGCACACGGTGATATTGAAGCCTGACAAATGGATAGCTGAGACAAGTAGAACTTTCGGACTTCTCTTCTGGCGAGGTTCCTGGAGGAGACAGGACTTGAGTAGAGCCAGAAGGAGAGTATTTACCTGGGAAGAGAAGACAGGAATCAGGGATGAGTGGGAGGGACATGTTTGGCTAAGAATTGAGAGGAATAGGGGTGGAATGGACGTGGGGATGTGCATCAACAAAGGCATGCACAGAAAAAGCAATCCCACCAACTAGGTACTGCAGTCAGCTGGACCGGGGAGATTGAACCCTGGCGTCACCTCTTATAAGCTGGGTGAACCTGGATAAGTTACTTACCTGAGTCTCCGTTTTCCTCATCTTTAAACTCGGACTAGTGGAAACCCAGCTAACATGAGAAGCAATATGGTGTAAACCGTTTGCCGCTGAGGTTAAGAGCAAGGGTTTAGGGGTCAGACAGAACTTGCTTCACGTCACACTCAGCAAGCTACGGCTGGTATGGATTTGGGTAAATTAACCTCTCCAAGGTCAGTAAGGGAGATTGTTGTGGAAGTACCGTGTCACAGATCTGTCCAGACGAACAAACGAGATAACACAGGTTAAGGACACAATGCTTGGTGCTTCCAGCATGATTGGGTGCTATTTACTAGGTAATATGGTGAGAGGAATACATCTGCAGAAGGAGAGGAATGTGAAATCAGTGCAGGGCAACTTCACCAATAGCCCTCCAGGCTGGAGGGTGTAAGCCTAGAGAGACTTCCTTCCCTCCCGGTTACCAGTGGCCAGAAGCGCCTTAAGCAAACCACATGATCTACCTGGAACTGAAGCAACATGGGAGCTTCTGCCAAGTGCCCCTAGGGCCTGCCAAAAGCAGACATTTCCATGACTGCCAGAACAACAAGGCCCCCAGATTGACATCTGAGTGCTACTACCATCTGTGTTTCAAAGGACAGGAGGAAAATGCTCTAATTAATTAGCTGGAAAGAGGCTGAATGGAAGTGCGTACGCCTGGGTGTGGCCGGCAGTGTTGAGTAAAAGGAGTAGAGAAAGAGCAGGTCACATCAAGATTCATTAAGCTTTATTGACCTGGATGGTGATGAGAAGTCAATATTGGCTACTAGTGGAAAGTTTTACTGGGGATCAAAATCCAAAGTGCAGAAGAGTTGTTTGATGTTTTCCTTCCCAGGACAGCCCATTGGTGTGTAGGCTTGGCTATAATTTTCTTTTGCCTCTTGAGGTAAAGATTATAACAAGTAAATTTGAAAGGAGAAATGTATTTCCACCCCCCCAACCCCGGCGGTAGGGAAGGAGGAGTTACATCAGGTCTGACTAAGTTAGAGGGGGCCTGTCGCACAGGAAATGGAACATAGGTGCCAGCCTCTGCCTCCCCCCACCCCACTCTGCTCTGAAGTGTCCCCATTCCGGTGGCCTTTATGTCCCTCACTGCCATTTCGACCTCCTACCGGAGAAGGATCTCTTTGGACATATTTGTTTAGGTTTGTTTGTTTTTACCCTGAATTGTTGAGTGCCTTCTACTGAGCTCATGTTACACCCAGTTTTCACACTCTGCTGGGGAAGGCAGACACATGCAGGTAACATATACTACCGGTGATCATTGTTTCAGTGGTGGAATGAGCACGGTGCATTGGTGCTTAGAGGCGAGGCCAGAATGAACATTCCCAAGTGCAGTCTGATGCCCACTGCCTCTCTCTGTCCTGCGTCCATCACTGGAGGGCACAGCAAGGGTCAACAAGGAGAGGGTACCCCCTCCAGATGGGTCTGGGGGTACTGGTACTCCCGTGCTCAGCAACATAGCCTGGGTTGAATGGTTCAATCAGTAACCCAGAAATCATGGCTGCTTGCCTGCTGTGGGCACACCTGTGTGCTAGATGTTTTAGTGTAGGGAGCAGGGTGGGTAAAGAAGGCATGTGGGGGCTGCCCTCAAGGGGTTCATAGCCTAACTGGAGAGGTAAAAACTAAGCTAGCAAGCAGATGTGCTGGGAAAGGATTTTGTTTTGGTTCTCTCTTTCTCTTTTTTTTTTGGAATGCCTACTAGGGTGGGATGCAGAGGGAGACAGACTCTTCTAGCATGACTGGGTACAGATGTACATGCTGTGCACTATACAATTTGAGGGAGAGCCATTCACATAGACAGTGAGTGACCCTACTGGAAGAGTCCTGGGTGATGCAGAAGGTCAAATAATTTTAGAGATCTCATGCCCGGAGGCAACCCACCGTGAAGTTCTCCTTCCCTAATCCCATTCTCCACTTGGCAGGCTCTAGTGCCCTCTAGAGCAGTGTTATTCAATAGAACTTTGTGTGATGATGGTGATGTTCTTTATCTGTGCTGGCCCATATGGAGGTTGCTAACCACATGTGCCAGCTGGACACTTGAAATGTTGCCAGTGTCGCTGGGGAACCGAACTTTAAATGTTATTTAATTTTAATTAATAATTTAAGTAGCTACCTGTGGCTAGTGGCTACTATTGGAGAGCACAGCTCTGGAGTGAAGGATAGGCAGGCTAACAAGAAGTAAAACCCCCAAGATGAGAGCAAAAGGATACAAAGTGGCTACGGGGCTTTTGAAGAGGAAGAAGACAAAGACAGTTTAAGGGTGAAGAAGTTTCTCTGCCAACCATGAGGGAGCAGACACTTAAACAGGGTCAAGAACACCAATGCAAAGAAATCAGTGGCCAGTCACACAGTATATGACTTGACTTATATGAAATGTCCAGAATGGGGAAACCCATAGGGTCAAAAAGCTGATTAGTGGAGAAATGAGGGAATGGAGAGTGGCCGCTTGATGGGTCCAGAGTTTCCCTCTGGGGCAATGAAATGTTTGGAACTAGACAGGGGTGGGAATTGTATGACACTGGGAATATACGAGATGCCACTGAGTTGTACATCAATAATTTTATGTCGTGGGAATTTTACTTTAGTTGAAAGAGAACCCAAATCGCTGGCAGTGAGAGGGGAGCTGGTACTACTGACAAAACATATGAACAGGGGCTCCTGGGTGGCTCAGTCGGTTAAACGTCTGCCTTCGGCTCAGGTCATGGTCCCAGGGTCCTGGGATCAAGCCCCGCATCGGGCTCCCTGGTCAGCGGGGAGTCTGCTACTCCCTCTTCCGTTCCCCCTGCTGTGCACTCCATGCACTCTCTCTCTGTCAAATAAATAAAATCTTAAAAAAAAAAAAACCATATGAACACTCCCATGTCCCTAACTTGCCTTGTGATCTCTAAAGAGGTGGAATATAGGATATACACCCAAAATAAAGCACTTTTATACATGCTTCAGGATTCTGTGTGAATGTGTGTGTCACAGCTGACATGTCAGACCACTTGGAGTTTGGGCTGTCCCATCTGGAACAGAGATGTATGCTGGTGTGATCAAGGAGTATAGTTAGGAATGACCAAGGACTAGACTATTGGGGTGTGGGGGGAATGATATCAAGATAGCTTGGAAGGGTAAACCTCAGTCATTCATTCCCTCTGATTTGGTCAGTTGGGTTGTATTAGGCATTATAGATTTGAGAGCTTGAAAGGACCCAAAGTGATCATTAGGCCATCCTCTTCCCTTGGGTACTACCACCCTCCAAGTGAAAGTGACCAGATGGCCCAGACTGGCAATTACAGAAGTAGTAGTACCAGAAACGGCTCCCATTAATGAGGGCTTACTCTGCATGCATGGCACTGTGCTAAGCATATCACACGTATTATTCTGCTTATGGTTTATTCTCTCCACAACCCTATGAAGTATGCATCAGTTCTATTTCAGAGATGAGAAAGCAGGTCCAGAGCACTCATTCAAACCAGAAAGCATCAGAGCCAGAATTCAAACCTACAAATATCTGACCCCAAAGCCTGTTCTTGTTTTTTGTTTTTTTTTTAAGATTTTATTTATTTGTTTGACACAGAGAGAGAGAGGGAACACAAGCAGGGGGAACAGCAGAGGGAGAGGGAGAAGCAGGCTCCCCGCTGAGCAGGGAGCCCGATGCGGGGCTCGATCCCAGGACCCCGGGACCATGACCTGAGCCGAAGGCCGTCGCTTAACGACTGAGCCACCCAGCCGCCCGAGAGCCTTCATTTATAAAACACATTTCACATACATTATCCTATTTAATCATCACATGAGATAACTGAGGGTCAGAGAATAGCTTGTCCAATATCACACAGATGGAAAATGATGAGTCCTCTGACTCCCAAGTCCCAGGTTACTTTCAGCACACCAGCACTGCCTCACATATATACAGGGAGACAAAACCACTGGCAGGTTGCACATTATCATTAAAGAAATAAATTGATTAAAACAATATTCCTAGTATGACCCTCATCTGTTAGACAATGTATTTATACACGTAAATGCATACAAAGAATGCAGGAAGGATATGATACGTTGAAATAGACGGGGAGTTTATGGGACTTTTTTCTTTTCTGACTGGTCAATATGATCTAGAGTAGCACTGTCCTATGGAACTGTCTGCCATGATGGAAATGTTCTGTATCTGCCCTGCCCGGTACAGTAGCCACTGGATACGTATCTAAGTGAGCACTTGCAATTTGTCTAGTCCTAACTGAGAAGTAAGTGTAAAATACATACTGAGTTTTTAAGGCTTAGTATGAAAAGAAGAATGTGAAATATCTCATTTAGTTTACTCCTTATCCTGATTGAATGTTGAAATGATTCTATCTTCTATACGGTGGGCTAAATAAAACATTATCAAAAGCAATCTCACTTGTTTCTTTTTACTTCTTTTAATGTCGCTGCTGGAAAATTCTACATTATATACATGGCTTACAGTATGTGTCCATTGAGCAGCACTGGTCTAGAGTTCAAGAGCATGAAATTCACCATCAGGCCCACTTGAGTTCAACTCCCAGTCTTCACTTTTCTAAGTAGGTGACCTTGAACAAGTTACAGAACTCATCCCTTGTTCTTTTTTAGTTGTTAAACAGGAATGATGATTGTCCCTAGCTCAGAGAGTTATTGTTAGGATTAAATGAGTTGATGATGGAAAGCTTCTACGGCAGGGAGTGCCTGGCACCTGTTAAGTGCTTGATAAGAATTCGTCGTCATTCTTTTTTCTAAATTTCCTAAGGTGGATGTGAATTTCTTATATAATAAAGATTAAAAAGAAAAGTGAAATCATTACATTTTTAAGTAAAGCAATTATTTTTAACCCTGGTCAGAAGCTGAGTATTTATGTTGTTTTAAAGCCGTATAGTCGTGTTTGCTTTGTTTTATTGTGTGTGTGTGTGTGTGTGTGTACACAAACCTTGGATGCAAGTGGAGTTGGGGACCATCACAAGTGACCATTTATTAGGCAATCTCATTCTTGCCTTCTGACCCGGGTTCTCCCCCTCCATCAAAGGGAGGGGATAATTGCATCATGGTTCCCCCTGGCATGCACAACACACCAAGTGTTCGCCTATATTTAGCCAACATGAAGTCACTGAAACTCTATGCCCACTAGATGCAATTAGTGCTTTGTTATTTGTTGCTCACATGGCTTATATCCTGACTGCTCTGCATAGTCTGTGTCCTTAGATGAATTTAAAAGAACTGAAAACCTTTTGTGCTGAGAAAACTGCTTGGGGAGTAGGAACTGAAATCCCAAGTCACTGAATCCCCTGGAAGGGACCCTGAGGTGAATGCTTGAGGCCTCCTGCAAGCCAGCGAGACCTCAATTATCCTCCTCTTTGATGGCAGGGGAGGAGCAGGGTGAGCAGGCTGGGGAAGGAAGGGTTGGCTATATTCTACCCAACCGGTAGAAGCAGCACGTCTGGTCGGTGGCTCCCAGGAACGGTCCCAGCTCCACTTTCCTTCCTGCAATCAGAAATGGCACCTGGAATGCAAAAACACAGAGCAGCTCAGCAGGGCTGACTCTACAAGGGGACAAGGGCTGGGGGCTGCCCACAAGGCGTGGTTTCAGAGGTTCACCATGTTGGCTAGTGCCTCCATTTTACTCTTGGGGCCTCTTCCCTCTAGTTTAAGGCTCTGAAGTGCTGTGTGTGTGTGTGTTATTGGGAACATTAGCTTAGACGCCCAATTCTCAAATTTTTGTTTCTCAAAATTGTCCTCACTTTGGATGGCAAAGACTTACTCCTATCAGAGATCCAAGTTTTGTTTTATTTAACAAAATAACTTCCAGGGAGCAGGCAAAGAAATAAAGCAAACACTATCGAAAATGTCACTAAAGTACATGAGGTATTCATAAAAGTGTTTTACAGGGTAAAGCAAGATATTCCTGAGGCCAAAGATTCTAGACAAAAATTTAGAGACCAGTTGACATGTTTATACCCTCAAACATTACCGTTCTCTTGTCCTCTATGTCTTATTTCATCACTCAGACTTTTATTCTAAAATAGATGATTTTGTGATGAAAAATATTTAGAAGTTATTTTCAAAAGAATATGAAGCTTCATTTTCAAAAACATTTTTGAAACTTGTTTTTATATCGCAGATGATATTAAAAGTGAGAGGGGAAAAAAAGTGAATGAATATTTCAGAAAAGCATAAACAAACCCGATTTCGTTTATCAACTACAGAAACACAGATTTTAATGACTTTTAAATATTCATTCATTCCTTTAACAAATATTTACTGAGTACCCAGTGTGAATAACAGTAGTGTACATTGGTGTCCTCGCTTTGTCTGTCTTTCATTAAGTAATCATAATTGTTGTAATTTTACTAACAAATATGTTTCTGACATCATTCTTCTTTGCTTGCAATACAGATTTGCGAATGTTATTAAAAATTTATCCGGGGACAACATTAAAAAGAAAATGAAAGCAACCACATAAGCTCAACTCAGTGGCAGTTGGAAGTGGCCTTGTCTATGAGCAGAACACTGTTGTATCCCAATGGACTGTGAGAAAGAGGTTACAGACCATGACCAGCACACCTTTTTTCTCTCTCACAAAAGAAGTATGCAAGTAAGTTCAGGGGAATTCTTTTTTTTTTTTTAAGATTTTATTTATTTATTCATGAGAGACAGAGAGAGAGAGAGAGGCAGAGGGAGAAGCAGGCTCCCAAGGAGCAGGGAGCCCGATGTGGGACTCAATCCCAGGACCCCGGGATCATGACCTGAGCCGAAGGCAGACACTTAACCATCTGAGCCACCCAGGCGCCCAGTTCAGGGGAATTCATTTCAGGGGAAACATTGAGTCAACTCAGATTGATTAAAAAGTAAAGTATTTCAAACTTCAGCATTCTATTATTAGTAACAAGTTAATTTCCACATACCTCACACTTTAATGAGAATAGCTGTGTTGGATAGTAACCAGTCATCAACACCTCAGTGTGAATGAAGATCTGAGAGTAGATTCTCTGAGAGGGAGTGAGGTAGCTAGAAGGAGAGAACAGTGGGTACTTGGAGCAGGCAGGGGGCACCCTGGGAAGAAAATGTCTCTAACTTCCTAGTTTTCACAGGAACCCTGGTCTCCGGAATAACCTGCCTAGGTCCAAGTCCTACTTTCCCCCAAATCATAGCAACTGAGTTCTTTACAATGACAGTTCATATTTTACTTCTACTAATTGCTATGATTACCATTACTAATTACCATGATGGAAAAGAGAAGACTGCTCTTTCTGAGAGTTTTTATAGATTGACAGTCATTACAGTGATCATTTATGGTTAAGTGTTTAAATGCATTAAAGTGGATGCAGTAAGCCTGGAAATACATATTGTTGCTATGGTTTAAGATCTAAATAAAAATAATAAGTCCATTAGCACAACAGTTAAAATATGCCATAGTATAATTGACAATAGCTTTTACTACCAGAAGTATATAACAGATGATTTTTAAAAATTTCATAAAGAGCATGTTTTCAAATCTGTGTGCAAAAGATAGATTATTCAATAAATGGGGTACCTATTTGAAAAAAGAAAATAAAAATAAAATCTCTATCTCACTCTTTATATAAAATCCATTTAAAATGTCCAAAAATTTAAACATAAAATAAATGAATCCATTAAAATTCCAGAAGATAAACTGAGTGTGTATTTTTTTATAATCTTGGAGTGAGGAAGTTCTTTTCAAGCAGAAATTCTCAAAGAAAAGACTGTCAGTTGGGCTTTTTTTTTTTTTAAGCTAAAATGTCTCCACAGCAAAAATTGAAATGTCTCCTTACTTCACAGAAACAAGGTTGAAATAATACTGGGGGGAAATGTGCGATAATAATGACAAAGGGATACGATAAAATATGCATAAAACACTTACAATGACCATAATAAATTTTATATATAGGAACAAACAATACTATAAAAAATGGGCAAAGACTGGAATAAGGAGTTCAAAGAAGAAGCATAACTGTCCCCAAACTGTTGAGACCGGTTAAGATGTGAAAGGGAGACACTCTCCAGACCACCAGCCCAAGCCCCCATTTTACAGGGGGAAACTGAGTCTCAGAAAAGTTCAGTGAGACACCTCATGGCAGCCAACCCATTAGTGCAGAATTAATTCAACTTTACCTTGAAAACGGTCTCTAGAGATCTTTAGGCAGCAAAAGTGAACAAAAGAAGATGAAGCTGCCACCCTCTGCATCCAGACCTCTGTGTGTTTGTGGCTTCCAGAAGAACATCAGGGAGAACATGGGAGAAGCAAAGGGAGATCCCAAGGCCCTGTTGGCCCTCTTGTCTGCAGAGTGAGAGGGACCCAGCTCATTTGGCTGGGCTGCTCTCGCAGTGGCTTTCAGAGGCTCACGTTGTGAGACACTGAGTTAAAAAGACATTCCAGGTCAGCCCCCATTTGTCTGGATGACAACCTCCAGCCCAGCTCTGCTAAAGGTCACTGCCTGCAGGGCAAGGCCTTGCCAACAATGGATGCAAAGACCAGACCTGCCATCCAGGATTGGACACTGATACAATATGAATGGAAACTAACAAGAGCGCGGAGAAAGCAAAATCTGTATAATCCTAGTTGTTTTCGCTGTTGCCTGGGGCAGGGGTTCCCTAAATCTGGCCTGCACACTGTGGCCATGGGAAATAATACTTGTAGGTAGTATACAGACACTTTTTTTTTTTTTAAGATTTTATTTATTTATTTGAGAGAGAGAATGAGAGAGAGCATGAGAGGGAAGAGGGTCAGAGGGAGAAGCAGACTCCCTGCTGAGCAGGGAGCCCGATGCGGGACTCGATCCCGGGACTCCAGGATCATGACCTGAGCCGAAGGCAGTCGCTTAACCAACTGAGCCACCCAGGCGCCCAGTATACAGACACTTTTGAAATTTTAACAACCTTGTATTTTTTTTTTTAAGATTTTATTTATTTATTTGAGAGAGAGAGAATGAGAGAGAGCAAGCACATGAGAGGGGGGAGGGTCAGAGGGAGAAGCAGACTCCCTGCCGAGCAGGGAGCCCGATGCGGGACTCGATCCAGGGACTCCAGGATCATGACCTGAGCCGAAGGCAGTCGCTTAACCAACTGAGCCACCCAGGCGCCCACGACCTTGTATTTGATTCATTATGTCTCCATACATAACTGGCCCAACAAAGTCATGATCTCACATACATGGTTTTTAAGGATAAGCCTGAAGTAAGTGTTTAGGTTAAATAAATGACTTCATTTAAAGAACAATGGTAGGGGCACCTGGCTGGCTCAGGTGGAGCATGGGACTCTTGATCTCAGGATTGTGAGTTTGAAGCCCACATTGAGTGTAGAGGTTACTTAAAAATAAAATCAGGGCGCCTGGGTGGCTCAGTTGGTTGAGCGACTGCCTTCGGCTCAGGTCATGATCCTGGAGTCCCGGGATCGAGTCCCGCATCGGGCTCCCTGCTCGGCAGGGAGTCTGCTTCTCCCTCTGACCCTCCTCCCTCTCATGCTCTCTGTCTCTCATTCTCTCTCTCTCAAATAAATAAATAAAATCTTAAAAAAAACCCCAAAACTTTCAGTTATAAAATAAAATAAAATCAGTAAGGAAAGAAAGAAAAGGAAGAAGAGAGAAAGAAAGAAAGAAAGAAAGAGAGGAAGAAAGAATACTGAGTATTAATGGTGCAGGTGTTTGAACACAGCAAAGATGGTGAATAAGGTTTGCCAATGGCTGAAGTTTGTGTGATTTTTTTTTTTTTTTTAACAGAGAGAGCGAGAGACAGCGAGAGAGGGAACACAAGCAGGGGGATAGGGAGAGGGAGAAGCAGATTCCCTGCTGAGCAGGGAGCCCGATGTGGGGCTCGATCCCAGGACCCTGGGATCATGACCTGAACCGAAGGCAGACCCTTAACAACTGAGCCACCCAGGTGTCCCTTGTGTGATTTTTCTGCACCAGTTCTGGAAAGTAATACATTTTACAATGCCTGCCAACCCATGCATGCATACATACATGTACTCAGCTGTAAGAAAGACTCTGAGAAACAACGTTTACCGCTATTTAGGTGATGCACTCTGGACCCTTGATTCATCTTTGACTCCCCCTTGCCCTTGTCTTTCTCCTTCTCCCCATAATCAATTGTCTTTAAGTTCTTCCTGTCAGTTCTGGGGCGCCTGGGTGGCTCGGTCGTTAAGCGTCTGCCTTCGGCTCAGGTCATGATCCCAGGGTCCCGGGATCGAACCCCGCATCGGGTTCCCTTCTCCGCGGGAAGCCTGCTTCTCCCTCTCCCACTCCCCTTGCTTGTGTTCCCTCTCTGGCTGTCTTTCTCTCTGTCAAATAAATAAAACCTTTAAAAAAAAAAAAAAGTTCTTCCTGTCAGTTCTGCTTCTAAAGAGTCTTTATTCACCCCTTTTTCCATCTCCAGGGCTTCCTTCCTGGTCTCTGCCCTCATTACCTTTCACCTGGATGATAGCCTAGCTCATCTCCTCGCCTCCAATCCAATTTTTCTCCTTCAATCCACCCTCCACACTGTTGCCAAAAGGCCTTAAAAAAACAAACAAACAAACTCTGAGCTGACCCCGTTGTGCCCCAGTGCACAGGATAAAGTCCAAGCTTCTCAGCAAGACTTGAAAAGCACCTGGTTGCTGGTTCCTGCTGACCCTTCCAAATTCCAACCCTGGCAGAATCAGGACTAGAAACCCAGGTCTCTTGATTCTCAAGTCTAGTGCTCTTCTCAGCATACCACGCTGCCTCCTCAAAGAATCTCTCCCTGTCGTTCTCATTCCACAGGTGATGTCTGCATAGCTAAACTGACTTGCTGGCACTGGGAGTTTTTTTTGTTTTTTTTAAAGATTTTATTTATTTGAGGGAGAGAGAGAATGAAAGAGAGGTCACAAGCAGGGGGTAAGGGCAGAGGGAGAAGCAGACTCCTGGCTGAGCAGGGAACCCGAGGCAGGACTTGATCCCAGGACCCTGGGATCATGACCTGAGCCAAAGGCAGATGCTTAAATGACTGAGCCACCCAGGTGTCCTGGCATAGGGAGTTTTAAGTATACCCTGAAAAAGTAGACCAGGCCATAGACAAGGGCACTGTGTCCCTTATCCATTACGAGCACATCATGTCATAAGTGATAGATGTGAATAAAAAGGAATTGAAAAGTGTCTATTAGGCAGGGCGCCCGGCTGGCTCAGTCAGTAGAGCATGGGACTCTTGATCTCAGGGTTGTGCGTTCGAGCCTCACTGTTGGTTGTAGAGATTATGGAAAAATAATAATAATAATAAATTTTTTAAAAAAGTGTCCATTGGGCAAAACTGAATTCACGTTGAGGACCACCAATACTGCATAAGGATTATCTAGGCCACCCTCACTTTGCAATTCTTCCACAAGAAGCAGATGGTCAGTAGCGAATTTAACCCATTGGTTAAATTCCAGTCTCGATCAGCCTACTAGAGTCAGCAGAGTATACCCACTCCCCCACCCCCACCCCCACCCCCACTGATGGTAGGCGGGCCTTAGCCAATGGAATATTAGTGGACATGACACACACAGGCTCCAAATGTGTTTGCCGGCTTTGACTTGGCCTCTTGAACAGGTAACGCCCTCTGCCAGAAGAGCTTGCCTCAGGTAGCCTTTGTCCTTTCATCCTGGGTCCAGAAATAGAACCAGGTGGAACCTGTATCTGACCCTCAGCCAGGAGTCCAGCCTAGCTCAGCCAGCCCAGGTGAGCCCAGCTGAGATCACGCCAAGGCTGCCCTGCAGACCCATTAGCAGGAAAAATAAACGCGTGTTGTCCCCAGCCACTGAGATTTTTGAGGTGGTTTGCAACCAAGCAAAAACTGACTAACCCAAAAGTAAAGTGGGTTTTGTTTTGTTTTTGTTTTTATCAAGCTAAACATCAACTCCTTTTCCTTTTGTGGATCATCTGCAGGGGGAAAAGTAATAACGCTCAGTTGACCTTCTGCTAGCCCCCAGCATATTTCTGGGGCATCTCCCAGCATGCCGGTTGCGTAACGCAGAAAGCTCTGCAGCCTCATTCTCACATTAGCCTGACAAGAAAGTAAATTAGGACTGTTAACTCCTGCACTCACTCCCCCACTTCAGTCACTGCCAAGCCCAAACTAAAACAGAAAATCCGGTGGCCCTGTGTTTAAATTGGCATAGCCATGCTACTGCTTCTCCTTTCAGAAACTGCCAACTGTTTTTATCGGGGGTCTCCAGCGTTGGGGATCCTGCCCCACTAGTTTTAAGCCATGATTTTTTTTCCAGCAAGAGTTCATGGTGCCCGAGTCCTTTTATAAAAGGAATGTTCCCAAGGAGGAAGCCAGCAAGGGTCAATTCCACAGTGTCCAAAGGCCCGGATCACCCAGACCTCTAGATGAGGTCGCGGAGGAGCGTCCTTGCCCTCTGTTTGGTCTCCTCCGTGTTTTCCTTCCCCTCCCCGGGACTGCCCAGCTCGCGCTTGTTGTCACCAGGTCCTAACAGCGGGCGGAGGTCCGCCTCCCCGCCGCCCGGAGCCTCCGCGCCATTGCAAACGTTCTCCTCCAGGTGGCAGTAGAGAGCCGCTCCCCGCCCGGCAGCTTACGTCACCTTGTTTACCCGGCTCCGGGTCATTTTTAGATCTAAGATCACAGGATGTTAATTGGGCCAATGATTTCCCATTCGTTTTGGCAAAAGGCCCTTCTTGTGGGCGTCCGGACAAGCACGATGTCCTTCTTGACAATGAAATTTTGCTGCGGGGAGTATTTATTCGCAAACACTTGGAATTTCATCTTTAGGAGATGGGAAAGCTGCGTGTTGGTATGTGCTGTGGGCTTGTGTCGGGGTCCCTTTCGTTTTGGAGCCTGAACGAGGGTGGCATGAACTGGGGAGAGTGGGGAAGCCAGATACTACAGTGGTGTCTGGGTGACATCTCCAGAGCCAACCGAGAGCCCGCAGGAGGAGTCTGCCTTTTGCACTTCCCTTTCCCCTGTATAAAATAATTACTCAGCAGGAAAGCATTTGGACTTTGGAACTTGGAGGGATAAGGAAAACAGCTGATTTGGCCAATCTGTGTCCTGATTCACTGTGGGGAGACACCGTGAAGCTCAGGGGCTCGGAGAGGCGCCTGCCTCAGATGCCCTCGTCCAGGAACTGGATCTCAGTGTCTCATAGATCACACATTTCACAGGCTGGAACTTTTCATGCCAACACAACAAGCACCACTTATTTATTACTCCCACGCTACCCAGCTACTGATGAGGACAGGTGAGGCCCAGAGGAGCTAAATGGCCTCGCTCACTCTCTCATCTCCAGGCCTGGGTCGTTTGAGCCTCAGTAAAAGCGTCAGAAGCCCTGGAGTTTCTGCTCTTTCTGTGCCAGCTTTGGTGGGTAGGAGATGGAAGGCGCCGGAGTTTGCCGATGACTGTGCAGGAGGCAAAATAAACAAATAGAAGTCCTCAGTTATGCACTCCTTTACAAGAAGAGGGGAGACACATCATATGCTCAAGGAAAGCAAGAGAAAATCTATAATGTTAAAAATAAATGAGCCTCGAAGTTTTTTAAGTGCCTGTTCCTCTCTGCCCACCTCCCATCTCATCCTTTTAGCACTCCTGCAGCTGCTGGGCTTACAGAAAGCCTCCCAGAGAGGGCAGAGTCCCTCTCGCTCGGGTCCTGTGCAGTCCCCTGGAGTCCCCTGGAGTGATGGCACTGGCCTGGAGAGATAGATGGTTTTCACGTGGGCAGGAAGGGAAGGAAAATCCTCTTCAGTTCGAGGCCACGACCATTTCTCGAGCACCTGATCTGTGTCAGCTATTCAGGCAGGCAATATAAGGTTATAAAAACACGGAAAGTCACGGTCCCCGCCACTGCAGAACTTTGAGTCTTAGTGGTATAAGTTTATCATAGGGAATTTTCGCTCCCTTTGGCAAGCACGTGCTGAAAGAAGGGTTGAAAGAGATTTACAACAGAAAAGGAGAATGTCAGGTAAATAGTTTGGAAAAGCATACCTCCACTTGGGTGTCTACTTAAGAGTGAGTTGGGGGGGGGGGCTCCTGGGTGGCTCAGTCGGTTAAGCGTCTGCCTTGGGCTCAGGTCATGATCCCAGGGTCCTGGGATCGAGCCCCACATCAGGCTTCCTGCTCTACAGGCAGCCTGCTTCTCCCTTTCCCTCTGCTTCTCCCTCTGTTTGTGCTCTCTCTGTCAAATAAATAAAATCTTAAAAAAAAAAAAGTGAGTTGGGGGGCACCTGGGTGGTTCATTCGTTAAGCATCTGCTTTCGGCTCAGGTCATGATCTCAGGGTTCTGGGATCGAGCCCCACGTCAGTCTCCCTGCTCAGCAGAGGAATCTGCTGCTTCTTCTCCCTCTGCCCCTCCCCAGCTAGTGTTCCCTCTCTCTCTCTCAAATTTATTTTTGAGCCACTCAGGCGCCCCCATAAGTAAAATATTTTTTTTTTAAAGTGGGTTGGGAACAGGGCTTGGCAACAATGGCAGAGCTGCTTGGTGGACAATGGGAGCCCGGCACCCCAGGCACTCTGAGGCTCTAAGGTGATGGAGGGAGGTGGAAAGAGGAAGGAGGGAGACACTTGCTCAGGGTCAAATGGTGCATCGAAGGGCAAGGATTTGAACCATGGAATTCTCCAAAGAAGGTTCAGGAGTGGGGAGCATACCCTAATAGCTGCCTCCAGTAGGGAGCATTCCCTAGACCTGCTTGCTTATAGGACAAGCATAGAGACCCGGCTTCAGTTTCCTGCATCTGTGAATAGGAGGTAATACAGGAATAGAAAAAAATAAACGGCCCCAGAGCCACTTACCACCTGTAAACTTGCCTTTTTAAATGCTTTTTGTCTCGAACCTGGTGATAATTCAGATCCATCCTAATCACAGGGCAGAGCAAATGGAGAGAAAGCAAACAATGAAATTTTTAAATTTTTTATGGTTATATGAAATTTAAAAATGATTTTAAAGAACTTTTTAATTGTTAGAAAACAGAGACAGCATAAAACAAGCACACAAATTAATAAATTATAAGGCAGATACGTCAGTAACCTTGCAACCACCCATGGAAGGAGACAGAACCATACCAGCAATCCGAGCAAGAACTTTCTAAGCCACAGTAACCGTTGCAGGCTCCAGGACAGGTCATTTGAAGGATGTTCGGAAGCCTCCAAGGAACAGATGGCCCTTCAGCCATCAACCAAGCAATATTTATGGACTACGTATAATGCTCCCACATTCAAAGTATAGGGCCTCATCCCCACACATTATACCTGAAGGAGGTGAGAGAGGAAAGGGATCAGCATTTATTGAGTACCTACTGTATGCTAAGTGCTTTACTTAAGTTATCTCTAAGGGAGATAAACTAAGCATGAATGCTCATTATAACTTTGTGAGGTTGAGGTTACAATCCCCACTTTACAGATGGGAAAACTGATGCATAGAGAGGTTAAGTAACTTGCCCAGGGTCCTGTGGCCTGTAAGAGGCAATTGGCACTTGAAGTCAGGTCACCTGGCTCCAGAGCCCCGCATTCTTTTTTTTTTTTTAATATTTATTCATTTGAGACACACAGAGAGAGAGAGAGAGAAAGCATGAGCAGGGAGAGAGGCAGAGGGAGAGGGAGAAGCAGGCTCCTCGCTGAGCCAGGAACCCGATGTGGGGCTTGATCCCAGGACCCAGGGATCATGACCTGAGCCGAAGGCAGACGCTTAACCATCTGAGCCACCCAGGCGCCCCGAGAGCCCTGCATTCTTCTCCGCCACCCTCGATAAGAAGTCGGTTATATGCTAGATACTTCTGTTTGCCCTTCTAGATCCAATCTCCATCCTTCCCTACCCTGGTCTGTGCTGCAGACCTGCTCAGTGGGTTCCCTCACTCACCCTTTGGCTTTGGGTTGGGTTTAGCCAGTGGGTATCCTGGATGGGAGAACAGAGAGAGGGAGACGCAGGAGGGAGGCCTGGATGGGGGCACCCCTGGGGCCGGCTGTGTCCCTTTTCTCAGGATCACAGCTCTGGTCAGGCGGCCCTAAGTGCACACACTACAGGCTTCAGTGACCACACCTCCCCTCGCCCCTTCAGGCCTCGGGGTGGTCGAGTAGCTGTGGCTTCTTGCCCTGCCTCTGTGGTTTCCCTACATCCTGCCCACACCTTTGTAACTAGCCCCTCTATTCAACTTTCTTCAAATTACCCAATTTGAGTGTGCCATCGTGTCCTGCCCAGGTCTGGCCTGATAGAAACAGGAAGGCAGGAAAGCAGCAGCTCCGAATCCTCCCTCCCTGCGTGGGCAGCATTCCTCATGGGTACAGGACCGGTCACAGGTGAATCAGAATGACCTCTCATTGCAAGGGCTCCAGGATGTTCTTTGGGGGAGGCGGAGAGGATCCTAGGCCTTCTGGGAAAAGGGCTAAAGGGAGGAAACAGATTAGGGCGGGACGGGGGCAGTGGGGGAGAGGGAGGCGTGGAAGAGGAGGGCTCCCAGAGCCAGATGGCCTGGGTTCAAATCCCAGGTCCTCCACCTACCAGATGCATGACCTTTGGCAATTCATTTAACATTTCCATGCCTAACTTTCCCCATCTGTAAGGTTGGATGATAAGAGTAAAGGAGTCAATGAATGCAGATGGCCTACCCATATTCAGGGTTATATTACTGAGGGAGATCAGGCCTTTGAACATGTTTGACCTTTGAAAAATACGGGGCAGATTCACCTGCCCCAGCCCTTGGGGACAACACACTGGGAAATCAGAAAGCAAACCGTGCAGCAGATTGCCGCAGCTTGGATCCCGGGACCAGCATGGAAAGCTAAGAGAGGCATGGAATCCTTCCAGTACCTCTTGGCCCTGTCCTTGATTAGGCTGCCACTTGAGGGCATACAGAGCAGATGTCCATCAGAAGACCAGAGCAAGTGAAGTTGCCAGAAAGATCTCACACTGGAAGAACCGAGTACCAACGCACTTCTCCCCTTCCTAAAGGCTGCCCTCTGTAAACATCACTTCTCTCTCCTCCATTGTCAGTTTCTCCCTCCGGAAAGGAAAAGTCTCATCAGCATACAAAGATGCTCTAATATCTTGGGACGCCTGGGTGGCTCAGTCGGTTAAGCATCTGCCTGCGGCTCAGGTCATGATCCCAGGGTCCTGGGATAGAGCCCCCACATCGGGCACCCTGCTCAGCGGGGAGCCTGCTTCTTCCTCTCCCTCTGCTGCTCCACCTGCTTGTTCTCTCTCTCTCTCTGACAAATGAATAAATAAAATCTTTAAAAAAAAAAATGCCCTAATAGCTCTTAAACTCTTCTTTGATTTCACATCTTCTTCCATTTCTCTGGTCCCATAGCAAAATTTTTTCCAAGCGTTGTCTGTAAACACTTTTCCCCTCCTGTTCTCTCCTCCATAGATCCATTAGCATTTCAGTCTCAAATTGCTCTCCCAAGCCACTCTTCTCAGTCACCAATAAGCTCCATGTTGCTCCATCTAATGGACACCTTTTTATCTTTTTCAGCCTCTCCGCCGCATTTGGCCCGTTGGGACAACACTCGGGGTTGACACAGCTTTCTGCCTCGGCTTCCGTGGATGTGCGGGATCCAGGAGGCCGAGACCTCCTCCTGCCTCTCCAGGTTTGTCAGCGTGCCGGGCCAGCAAGCCTACTCCTCGAGAGCTCTTGGGGTGTAGAGTGCGGAGAGATGAGCTCATTTAGCAGTTCTTCACAGTGCCTCAGGAAATGGGAGGAAACTTCCATCTTTGCTGATCATTGGAAGCCTGAGGCTGATGGGAGTTGGAGAGGGGAAGGTAGCCAGGGAGAAGCACTGGGAGATGGTACAGGGATGAGCTCCCGTCTGTGCCACCCCACAGCCCTGGCAGCTCACAACAGTCAGATGCTGACATTCATCTCTGCATTTTCATGGTCAACTGGCCCTTATTATTCCTGTTTTACAAGGGAAGAAAATGGAAGCAGGGAGGATAAGGAATTCATTCATTTTCCCGGTCAGGGTCATATAAGGTGAGGCCGTCCCGCAATAGGACTCTATGCAGAAGCCCTCACCCTTCCCCACTCCTGTCCTGTAGGGTCTCCAGAACATAAAACTCAGTCTATAGCACTTTCCAAGCCTTTGCCAGAATCCTGTCTTGAGCAAACCCAGAGCAGACTTGGGACCAGAGCTTAGTCCCAGGAGCTTAGCATGGCTATTCTTCATCGGTCCTGGGTGCCTTGTTTTTGCGTCGTGGGGGAAAGCGTTAGGGCAAAGAGGGAATGGGCAAGGGTGAGGCAAACACAGGAAACAGCTCTTTTTAATCTTGTCTGCAGAGACTGCATCATGAGGATGAGAGGCGGGATTTCTCTCAGTGAGAAATGCCTGAGAGAAGCCAGTGGTGGTCTTTAGCCTTTATACATTGTAAGTGTCATGGCCAAGTTCGCAGGACCAGTCTGGAGCTCCAGTGACAAAATGTCTGAGGGTTTCCCATTCCTCCTTGCTTGGAAGTGGCATCCAGGGTCTCTGATAAGGGGTGTTTTGGGTGAGGATGGTGGTTTCGTTCCCCATTGAGACAGTTTTAGGGGATGGGATTTCCACTCCTTTGTTCCTTCCGTCCCATACCCTTGAGCCAAGTAGCCTTTCTCTGCACACTCGTCCTCATCTCTTGCTGTGTCTTTGGAATGCTAATGAGAAATAGAATGTGGGGGCGCCTGGGTGACTCAGTTGGTTGAGTGTCCAACACTTGATTTTGGCTCAGGTAACAATATCAGGGTCGTGAGATCGAGCCCTGTGTGGGGCTCCGTGCTCAGCAGGGAAGTTGGCTCGAGTCTCTCCCTCTGCCTGTCCCCCTACTCGTGCACGCTCGCTCTCTCTCTCAAATAAATAAAGAAATCTTTTTAAAAAATTTAAAAAAGAAGTAGAATGTAGAGAGAAGCATGGAGTCATATTAGATGTGCGTTTGAATGTGAGCTACGCTGCATAGTCACTGGTGCTCTCTATGTCTCAGAGCCTCAGTTTCCCCATCTTTGAAATGCAAATAATAAAAATCACCTCATGGAGTTATTGTGAGGATCAGAGTCAGTGTTCATATGGTTTCTGCACAGGTGCATGGTTGGTACTCAGTAAGCAGTGGCAGATACGATAAAGTTCCCATTAGGCTAGCCTTTTACCTAAATCCCTTCCTATACAAAAAAATCTGGCAAGTCACTTATATCAACTAGGATGCTTTCACCTATAAGCACAGAAAATCCAACTGAACTTAAGAGTAAGGAAAATGTGTCATCTACTTGGGAAATCCAGAGGTAACCTCAGGGATGGCTGATCCGTAGCTTAACAATGTCATAAAGGCCATCTCTCTGACCTGCATCCTCGGCCTGTCTGCTTCATCCCCTGGTCGTCTTTCCTCATGCTTTCAAGATGGTGGGCACAATTCTAGATGTCACTTAGAAATACAACCACATCCAATAGCGGGAGAGGACCGTCTCTTCCTATATATGCCTGTTTAAGCAAGGAAATCTTGCTAAGAATCTACCCGGCATACTTATCCTATTTCATCAACCAGAATGATCTCATGAACTTGTGCTTGAACAAGAAGACAATCACTGCAATTGGTTGTTTCAATCAGCTTTTATTCCTGAAGCAGTAGGGATGGTTATTGGATAGACAACCAACCAATGATCTGCTCCACTGTTTGTTTAGCAATATTCAAAAAAAGGTTTATGCATCTATTAAGTGCTCGGGCTTTGGAGGTACTGTTGTCATAGCTTCATGTCAACCACTGCACATTTAGAACATAAATGCTCGAGATCTTGACTCACAGAGAGGAGATGCTCAGGAAATGTCCTCTGAAGCAAGGAGCCAAAGGGCAAGGTGGAGGTGCCTGGGCCGGGTTCATTCATAGCCAGGAAGCAACATCTTGGAAGCAGGGCTTGCCAAGAAGGTGAGGGAGCTCCCCAAGCTTCAAGCTGGCACTCAGTTCCCAATTATGTTTCCAGAATTATTAGCTTTGATTCTGTGAGAAAGGAGCACATCAAAGCCAGAATCCTATGAATGAAAATGTTGACTAATCGAGCTAATTATAGTTCAGTCATCTGAATTTTCACACAATGAGCCCGAGTTCTCATGAAAGCCTTCTCCTGGGCAGGAGGAAGCTTTGATGATGAAGCAGCTATTTATGTCCCAGACCCAGTCCTCCCCACTCTGGCCAGGGAATCCTTACTGGAGTGCCTTTTGCCCACTCAAACCTCTTATGGGTTCTACTCCAGCTTTCTTGAAAGCTGAAGCAAGCTCAGTTGAGGGGGAGATTATAAAGATGTTGGGAGCAAGAACTCCTCCCTGGAGAAAGATCTAACCAGTGGTTCAGAATGTCATGATGAGATTCTTTTCATTTTCAACTTTATTCCAGATTTAAAAATACTTAGGTAATTTACATAGCCTAATTATACTTTAGGGAGAAACTTCTCACTTAACATGTCTCAGTTATCAGATGCAGAATGGTATAATAAATTTTAATCACTGTTTAGATGTTCTTTGCTGCAGAGCTAGTAATATAGACTAAGCCTAAATCTTCAATGAGCTACCAGCGACAGTGTTTGGTTGTCACCACTGGGGAGGAGGATGCCATTGACATCTAATGTGTGAGGCCAGGGACACTGCTAAACGTCCTACTATGTGCAGTGCAGACCCCCACGACAAAGAATTATCTGACCAAAATGTTAGTAGTGCTGAGGTTGAAGAACCCCGTGTTAAAGGGTAAAGGTCCACTCAACACTGGTTATCCACTCAAGGTCACAGCAAGTTTGCTTAAATGGTGTCACCTGCCACCCAAAGACATGTTTTGGCAGGTTCCTTTACACTGTACATTTCTGAAAGAGAGATAGGAAGGAAGAAATGAATGAAATCTATGGCAATCATAGACTCAAGTCTTATGGAAGATGATTAATTCTTCCTGGCCAGTATGCTTGCTCTTCAGATAGCTGGTCCTTGATGAATAATGATGATGTGTATGGATGCTTGGGCCCCTGGTGAGGCACTCTCCCTGTGTGGACAATTAAAGAAGTAGATATATAGAATATGCTCTGCTCAGTATGTCCCCAAACTACCTCTTTTTAAAGGAAGTTTTAATTCATTCTCTTGTAAATACTACATAAGCAATAACAAATTTTAAAATTATGCAAGATCTAGGTATGAACTAAGGACTCTTTTTATTCAACTTAACTGTTATCAAACTGTGTGTAAATCAACTAAGGGAGCTTTAGGCCTTCCTCTTGCTTCCTGATTGTCCTCGTTATCCAGGGTATTTAGAGCTTGAAGTTAATTTGTCTTTTCAACACACTTTTAACTGTAAAGATGTTCTGTTCTGTCTTGTCCTTTTGGAGGAACACCACTTAAAAATTGTTTTAACGAACACAATCATGTAATTTAAAAAGTCAAATAATGGCGCCTGGGTGGCTCAGTTGATTAAGTATCTGCCTTTGGCTGAGGTCATGATCTTGGGGTCCTGGGATTGAGCCCCCCTTTGGGTTCCCTGCTCAGCGGGGATTCTGCTTCCCCTCTGCCCCTCCCCACCTCCCCACCCCGTGCTCTCAAATAAATAAATAAAATCTTTAAAAAAAAAGTCAAATAATACTAAAAGTCCAGTGAACTGTGGCAGTTTCCTTCCTCATTCCCTCTCACACTCCTAAGTCTTCCTGGTTTTTTTCTGGCATTTACATGTTACCATATTTTAAATAAACCACATGGGCTTTTTTCTTTCAGTTCCTGTATTGGTAAATGAGGATTTAGTGTTCTTTTCAACCATCCCTTTCCTAGTCCTCCCTACATCAGCATATCATAATTTTTGGTTAAATTAATGTTTGGTGTTTACATCATTATACATATGCAAGGAAAGCAGAGCATCATAGTGTACTATTATTTTTCTTTATTGCTTTTTGTTTTTCCTGGTATTAACAATTGCCTTGTTTGTTTACTAGCAACTACTTTAAATTTCTTTCTTTGCAGTACCTTTGGTCAAAAGTATTGCACTTGTGACCTAATTTCTCTTTGCGGAGGCCAAATTTAGCTGACATTCTAAGTTTTCAGCCCCCGAATGCCCTCTACCTCAGGACTCACTAAAAAAGGAGACTCAACCTAAGATGCAGCCCATTTCCCATCATCGGCTTTATTTTCCCCAAATGGGTCATTCTTCAATCACAGCTTTTCATCTCCATTTAAGAACCTAGCTTCTGGGGTGCCTGGCTGGCTCAGTCGGTAGAGCATGTGACTCCTGATCTCGGAGTTGTGAAGTCAAGTTCCTTGTTGGGCATAGAGTTCACTTAAAAAGAAACAGAGAGGGATGCCTGGGTGGCTCAGTCGGTTAAGCATCTGCCTTCAGCTCAGGTCATGATCCCAGGGTCCTGGGATCGAGTCCTACATCGGGCTCCTTTCTCAGTGGGGAGACTGCTTCTCCCTCTGCCTGCCTCTCTCTCTCTTCTTCTTCTTCTTCTTCTTCTTCTCTCTGACAAATAAATAAAAATATTTAAAAAAAATAAAGTTGTTGCCCATCAGAAAAAAAATTAAAAAAAAAAAGAGAGAACCCAACTCCAGCTGACCTTCTGTGGCTTCTTGCAAGGGGCCACGTAAGAGCAAATACATGAACCCTTGACTCTGCGGTCTCCCCAGTCACACAGCTGAGATCAGTTATTAAATAGCCAAGAGTGGTTTCTTCAGAAGGTCTTAGGGACCAATACTGGCTCCAGCACAGGCGATCACAAATTCAGTAGCTTCCAAAAACTAAAAACACAATTCAGCGTTCACAGAGAGCTGCCTCTGACACCTCTCTTTTCTCCTTGTTGGCTCTGTACTATTGCTAGTTGCCCTTTGGGTCCACGACCTTTCGGTTGCCTAACTAATAATCTTGGACTGTGCACAATCCAGGGGTTTGTTGAGAACGGTGTCAAGCCAGTGGCAACCCTCTGTGGTTTCTCCTTTCACTGAGCATGGTCTACCATACCTGCAGGATTCATTGCCCTGCTCCGGGTCCTCTCTACAAGGATCGATGCTGGAACCCTGGTCTTCCTGCCCCTGGGGCTGAGTGGGTCTGTCATAGAAGATGAGGACTCCAGTGTGGAGGGGAGCAAACCTCATTCAAAATGTGCATGTTTCAATTCATGCAGAGAAGAGGCCTCAGTCAGAGGGTCTCCACCAGAACAGCTCCTCTCCCGAAGCGCGCTGGCGTCTCAAGGAGCCGATAGCAACTTCCGGACTCCGCTGATTCAGCCCTGGCCCGCCTGCTCCTGGAGGATGCTTGATCATGTCAGCTTCCTGGCTTTAGCCTACCACACTTGTGTCTATTCCTGTACCCTCTCTTACGGAATTTCTTCCCATCCAAACTGAGCAGTCGGGGAAGGAAGTCAAGCAGTCTCTGCTGTAAAACCCTGAAGCATCCCGAGCTCTCCCAGACTCAGTGACCCCTCCTGCTAACAGAAAGACGGATGCCAAAGCGCTGGCCCAGGATCTTTTCCTGAAATACAGCCCTGCTTTCTAATTCTGCATCTCTGCTCAATTCTGCACAGAGAACAAAGGGATTTTTATGGAGGCAGACACACCCCACATTCCTAGTTTACAGAATTTATTTTTAACCAGAACTGCATTTAGAAATATGTGAGCAATCATACTAGTAATAATAGACGGAAGAGGAGAAGTACGTGTGGATTCATCTTCCTGGGTATGTGTGGCTCCAGTTAATATTTAAAATGGTCTCAAGTTCTCGGAACACACACTGACTGTCTGATGGGGGAGGCGGTGAGGAGAGAGACAGGTAGGAGTGGGAAAGCTGACCTAGGATTAAAAATTAATTGTGCTCAATTTTTAAATGAAATCGTTGTAGCCAGATGGCTATGAATTTTAATATGATTTTGTATTTAACTTTTTTTTTTTGAGGAGATTTAAACTCTATTATTCATCAACTAGGCAATTTATGAACTCACATTTCGGCTTTAATTCTACCTCATCACAAGGAGAATTACAGGGCTGGAAAAACCACCAATCATCCTCTGTTGGAAAGAACCACACCCAAAGCCAACCAGGGCAACAGGGATCCCTAACACATTTTTTAAGACTTCTAATTTAAGGTATTCCACGGCCAGTCTCCCTTGGGAGCCAATTCTGGTGTTCCAGTCTTCCATTCAGTCAGCCCCTGCTGTGCTTCCTCTTTCTCTGCTTCATGGGACTGGGGAGACAGAGGAACCATCCCCATCCCAGGCTCCTTCGGGGGCCCGCAGGCCTGTTCCACGGACTGTGAAGTGCATCAGGCCACAGCCCTGGGCCAGATGGGGAGAATGGTAAATAGGGAGGGCCCTTCCCACTTTGGGTATAGGAACTAACCTGATTTCAGAGGCTGGTCCCACAAGGGTGTTTGGTCTATGTCAGGGCCCAAAGAGAAAAGAAAGACTGGGCAAGGAGTGGTACTACAGGGTCCTCATTGGATGGTGTTGGAGGACATGCAGCCACAGTAATGCAAGGATTGTCTCCAGTAGGGATGTGGTCCTGGAAGAGCTGAGCATTCATAAAGGGTATCAGCAAATGGATGAGGGCACAGAGAGGAGTATGCTTTCTTTTGGGGAAAGAAATCAGCAAGAAGAAGGCCAGGCATCAGGACCCTGCGTCAGTAAGCTGGAGGGCAGAATAATTATCAAGTTCTAGAGGGGGGGGCGCCTGGGTGGCTCAGTCGGTTAAGCGTCTGCCTTCGGCTCGGGTCATGATCTCAGGGTCTTGGGATTGAGTCCCTCATCGGGCTCCCTGCTCACCAGGGAGTCTGCTTCTCCCTCTCCCTCTGTCTCTTCCCCCTGCTCGTGCTCTCTCTCTCAAATAAATAAATAAAATCTTAAAAAAAAAAAAGTTCTAGAGGGAAGGTGGGATCCGTTCTGGCCATTATGGATGCAACTCTTCTCATCATGCCCACTCTCTCTGGACACCTTATTATATCTGGAGTCGGTAACCATTTTGATGACTTCCTATTTTAGATCTCCAGCCTCTGCCCCTTTCCTGGACTCCAGACCTTCATATCCAGCTGCCCACTGGACCCATACACTTAACATGTCCAAAGAAACTCAACAGCTCTCCCCAACCCATTCCTCTTCCTATGTTCTTTGTCCCAAGGAAAGCACTTATTCTCAACTCCTCCTTCTTCTCACCCACCATATTTAGTCTCTTGTCAAATCCAGTTGCATGTGCCTTCTGAATAGCTCCTTATTTTCTCCCCTCATCTTCACTGCTAAAATCTTAATTCTGGTCACCATCAGCTCTTGCTAGAATTTTCACTGCAGCCTCTTATGTGCTCTGCCTGCCTCTAGACGTGCATGTCCTTTGCCCATCCTTCCTCCTAAATGCAACTTTGATTCTCTCTTCTGCTTAAAATCCTTCACCTGGTGCCCATTGTCCCCGGGATAAAGTGCAAAACCTGTTAATGTGACTGAAAGGCTCATGACCTGCCCCGCTTGCTGCCCGTCATCACCTTGTGCCCCTTCTGCCACATCATCCCACAGCTGTACTGAGCTTCTGGCAGGTCCCTGAGGAAGCCCTGATTTCTCTGGACTCCACAGCTGTGTACATGAAGTTCTCCCTTTCTTCATCTGAGTAACTTTTGATCATCTTTTGGGACTCAATTCAAAGTATCATCTTCTCGGGATGCCTGGGTGGCTCAGTCAGTTAAGTGGCTGCCTTTGGCTCAGGTCATGGTCCCAGGGTCCTGGGATCGAGCCCCACATCGGGCTTCCTGCTCAGTGGGAAGCCTGCTTCTCCCTTTCCCACTCCCCCTGCTTGTGTTCCCTCTCTTGCTGTCTCTCTCTGTCAAATAAATAAAATCTTAAAAAAAAAAAAGTACCATCTTCTTGAGAATCCCTTCTCTGGGTAAGTGCTTCTCCACCTGCTTCCACAGCCTCTGTCCTCCTGTTCGTCTCCTGTGTGGATCTTCCTGACCAGACTTGTGAACACCTCCAGGCAGAAACCAGGTCTTTTTCACTGAGGAGCAATGCAGCAATGGGGAGACTGTGGGCCTTGAAGTCAGCCAGACCTGTGTTTGAAAACCAAACCTGAAGTAAGACACCCTAGACAAGATTTTTATCATCTCGAGATCTCTGTGTCACTATAGCTGTAATCCTCATAAGCTGTTGTGACACAGCATAAACATGGTAAATTTACAAAGTACTTCGCATTGAGCCTGATACATCGTAGGTGCTCAGTAAATGTTGGGTGAAGGGAATGCAGAAAGAGAAGCTCCAAATAGGTTTATGGGCTCGTGGTCACATGTCAGAGAGGCTGATGTGGGTCCCTGTGACCTTGGCCATCTAGGCAGAGAGATGGCAGGACCGGATGGAATTAAGGTCAGACTCATCTAGAGGGGAAAAGCTAACTGAGCTGATGGAGAGCAAGACAAGGAAGACCGACAGCGAACACAGGAGGTCTCCGTGAGATTGCCTGCGGCATTTGACAGTGACAGGGCCATTGTGGAAGGCCTGGCTCAAAGGGTCACACTTGCCAAGTGCCGTAAGCTGACATTGGACAGTAGGAAGCACATTCTCACCCTCGCTCTGGAGCTTTGAAAACACACTTGGCTGGTCCCCGACTCCGGGTGTTTGGTTTCAAGTACTCAAGTAGACCCAGGACTGGGCATCTTTAAAAGCTCTTCAGAAAATGCAGTTGTAGGGGCACCTGCCTGGCTCAGTCAGTGGAGCGTGTGACTCTTGATCTCAGAGTTGTGAGCTGGAGCCCCACACTGGGTGTAGAGATTACTTTAAAAAATAAAATCTTCAAAAAGAAAAAGGAAAAGGAAAAGAAAATCCAGATGTAGGCAGGGCTGAGAATCACTACTTTTTTTATTTTTTAAAGATTTTATTTATTTGACAGAGAGAGAGACAGCGAGAGAGGGAACACAAGCAGGGGGAGTGGGAGAGGGAGAAGCAGGCTTCCCACAGAGCAGGGAGCCCCATGCGGGGCTCGATCCCAGGACCCCGGGATCATGACCTGAGCCGAAGGCAGATGCCCAACAACTGAGCCACCCAGGCGCCCTGAGAATCACTACTTTAAAGTGAAGGCAGCCCAGTCCAGGGAGGGGAGGAAATACCACACCTCACAGAGCAGTAGGGACTAAGTTTGCCCCTACACCCCCAGAGTGTCCCCTGGGCATAACTGAAGGAATATATGGTGGGGACTGGCTGCTACTTTCTTACCTGCCCTGGTTGGGACTAGCTTCGCATTAGAGCTGGCCCGTCCACAGACCAAGTGGCAGGGAACAGGGAGAGACAAGGGTAGGGAAAATGAAGCTAATGGACACACTCGTCCTGATCTCAAAACTCCATCCTGCCTCTCCAGCCCCTCCCCTAAGGAAACCAGGTGCTCTTTGGGAGGAAGAAGGTCCTTTGGGAGGTGATGGGGTGGAGCACCTTGCTTTCCTTCATATCCCCTCCAAGAGCAGAGGGGGAAGCCAGTGGGGAGCTGCTTTTCACTTCTCCTTGGGGAACAGCTCAGAGATGACAGCGTAGAGCTGATGGTCATTCTAAGAATGTAAGGAATTTTTTGGATAAGAAATGAATTCCCAGCCAGCTGTAGCAGACTCTTAGTTTGAAGATGTCATAACCAAGAATGAGAAAAAAAATTTTTTTTAATGAGGGAGTAACTCATTAAAAAATTAGAGTCAGCTGACATTTATTTGAAAAATGCCTAGTTCTCTACTCTGTGAATTTCCACAATTTATATATAAAAGGTAATCAGGATGATGATACCCATTACAGTTCACAAGAAATAGCCCCACCAATAAGAGGCATCATGAAGAGACTTCTAGTAAAAGCTGTCCTTTATTTTATCACCCTGGTCCTCCCAAGACCCTACAAATATCTGATCATGCCAACCTGATCAAAAGTCATCGATCAAGGGTTGCATGCAATGCTTTGCATGCAAAAGTCATGGATCACTGCTTGCATGTAATGCAAACAGCCTCTTTGTCAGCCTCTGCCTGGGAAAAATAAAAAGAGAGGGCCATGAATCACTAAGAAGTAAAAACGAAATCTCCTCCCCTGGACTTTCAATACAGAGGCATAGCCCAGGAGAGGAAAGCAAATGAAATTAAAAAAACCCCAAAGGATGAGAGGATAACCTGTTACTAACCTTGATGTGTCCCCACCCCCCCTAGCCCCACCCCACCTCCAACACCTTCATACACCTATATACACCTTTTGCCACCTTACTGTAAACTCAGTGCAGTACAAAACTACAGCTTTTGTGCCCACAAAATACTCCCTACCCACCCCCACCCCCCAAAAGCAGGAAATTTTGTAAAGTGGTTCACGATCCTAGAAGGTACCTAATTGTAGAGAGACTTGAAAATAAAGGGTCTCCCGTTCCCTGTGGGCAGGGACTCAACACAGACTATCTTAGTTCAATCATCTCTTCCTTTTTGGAAATTAACAGCTCAAGTCTCTATTGATTTAACATGCTGTCCCTGTGATGCAGTGGGGATTTCACACAAGTAACGAGGACAGGCTGTTCTGTGATTATTTAACCCTTCCGGTCCTTTGTTTTTGTAATTTTCTCTAAAATGAAACAACTCAAATATGTGAATCTATTAGAGGGAACAAGACCAACTCTTGTGGTTCCTCTTGTACTTTAAATATATATATTATTGAAATGTATTGTAGCAGTAAGAAAATTTCAGTCTGTATCTCTGCAATGTACTCTGAACCCCAGATAGTCCTGTAAAGGAGCAGGCTCCATAATACAGTAGGACATTAAGCAAGAGACAGGACAGGGAATGAGAGGGGGGGCAGTGCACATGCTCCTTAATTTTCTTTCCTAGGTCTCTGCCTCTTTGCCTTTGAGTAGTCTGGGGCTGTGCTTGCTTGTGATGATATCAGCTTGCTGAAGGTAAAATTACGATGGTAGACTAAATCAGGCCCCTACACTTCAGTGTAGGGAGAAGGAGGATGAGGGACGAAAAGAAGCTGGAGCTGCTGTTTAAAGTACCGTAGAGTAATTGTCAGGATCGATCAATTACTTTATACAAAATTGAATTTGTCAGGGAGGATTCTTCCCTTTGCGGAAGGAAGAAGCAAAGTCCTTTATTCCTCATGATTTCAAGGACAAGGAAGGTGTTCTAAATTAGGGGAAGGGGGGAATAAAAAGAGAAGCCTTGGGGCGCCTGGGTGGCTCAGTTGGTTAAGCGACTGCCTTCGGCTCAGGTCATGATCCTGGAGTCCCGGGATCGAGTCCCGCATCGGGCTCCCTGCTCGGCGGGGAGCCTGCTTCTCCCTCTGACCCTCCTCCCTCTCATGCTCTCTGTCTCTCATTCTCTCTCTCTCAAATAAATAAATTTAAAAAAAAAATCTTAAAAAAAAAAAAAAAAAAAGAAGCCTTGTTACCCAGGCCACTTAACAGATGTCCAGTGGGCACCTGCTATGTGCAAAGACCTGAGCCGGGCCAAGGAAAAGCCCCACCTCTGCCATGAACTTGGGAGTTGCATGGGTGGAGAGGTCACCATGGCATCCTGGCTTGTGCCAGACAGTGTCACAGTCTCACACACTATTATAAGTTAATCACATTTGTCTCTGGACTCCTCCTCCCCATCCTTACCTTGTCGGGGGTCATCCTGGTGTGGTCAGCACATTTTGCTCCCGGGGCTCCCGGCCTCACCCATTCCCTTTCATTTCCCCCTTCCTGAGCTCATCTGTCTTAGCTCCTTCTGTAAGTTAGACTCCGAGCAGGGCAGGAGAAAGAGCACCTTGTTCTGTCCTTCCTGGGTGAATTTTGGCAAGTCATTTCATTTCTTTGCATCTCAACTTTTTCTGTTAATCAGGAGAATAGTAACGCTTGGCTTGTATTGTGAGGATTCGGTGAATGATGAAAGTGAAATTAACTACAGCAGATTTTCATAGAGAATGTCACACGTGGCAGGCACTGTGCTGAATGCTCTCCGTACTATATCCCATGTCATCCTTCCAAAGGCCGGTAACGCAGGCAGGCGTTCTCCTGGTCATGTACAGGTGGAGAAACTTGAGGCTTAGAGATTAAGTAATTTGCCCCCAAGTCATTGCTAGTTTATTGGAAGTGTCCAGTAGTCTTACTCTAAGGTCCATGCTGTTGACCACGGTGCCCACTGCCTCTATAAATGCCCCTGTGGGATGCTAGGTCAGCAGGAGATCATTTTATTAGATACAGCTAACACACAGTACCGTTTGTTATTAGACAGATTTGAAGGTACCAAAGATCATATCATTTACATAGAAAGAATGCAGAGCGATTAACTTACATAGAACCACAGGCTTTAGAGGTGAAAGGGTTCTTTGAGATGATCCAGGCTTATGGTTTACAAACTCCGCTTCTCAGAAGCCCTATACCAAGCTCTGCTTTTATCTCTTTTAAAATTTATTATTATTTCTAGGCAGCATTTTGTCTGAAGAATAATTCTAGGGCTTACTCTTTTCTAATTCACTATCATTTTGGGGGGAGCATTTTCCTGAAGCCATAAGAGATAGACAGACTAAGGTTTCCTGACATCTGGTCCAGGTCTCTCTTCACTCCTCAGTCCTGTCTCTTGACACAATGTGTCCAATGTAGTAAAGATTTGATAATATTAAAAATGAATAATCAAGAGAGGCTTCTTCAAAGAAATATCTCAGGAAGCCACATAGGCCTGGATGATCTAAGCAAAGGCATGGTAACCAGTAAAAAGTAATGAGGCATGGTAACAAATAATTTTAAAAGATTTGGAGAGGGGCTTGGAAATACTGTCAGTGATGACTATTATGAGGTTGTCTCCTGTGGGAGTAAGCAGAGAAATACCATCCTATGAGGCCCTTAAGTTCAAGGATTTATTCATTCAGCCATCAATTATAAAACATCTACTCTATACCAGGCGCTGTACTAGGCAGAGGGACCACAAAGATGAAAAGACAGTGTCCCTGCACTTAAGAGGCTGACTTACTGAGTAGGGGGTGACATGGCAGAGGCATTGGTGTGATGAAAGCAGTGACAGAGATTTACAGAGAGTCCTGGGGATACTTGGAGAATGGACATCTTATCCTGGCCCCGGTCGGGAGAGGGTGGTAGTCAGGTAACCTTCCTGGAAGATATAACATCTGAGAAGAATTCAAATTCAAGGAGATTGACATAAGAGGACAGTGTTCTAGCCTTGGATAGAATTGAATTTGGTTTCTTTCTACTTTGCTGATGAAGCAGAGATGGGCCATCCAGCAGGGCCACAAACCGATCACCCCAAACCACACCGCCGCAGGGGTGTTGCTAACCAGAAGGTCTGCTTTCAAGTACTGTCAATAGTTTCCTAAGATGATTTCTTCTCATAGAGATGAAAACAGCTATTCTCAGAATCAGAGCCAGGTGGCATGTTCCTCAAGTAATTACTTAGATCTCACCTCCTGTGTGTGATTTCTTTTTTTTTTTTAAGATTTTATTTATTTATTTGAGACAGAGAATGAGAGAGACAGAGAGCACATGAGAGGGAGGAGGGTCAGAGGGAGAAGCAGACTCCCTGCCGAGCAGGGAGCCCGATGTGGGACTCGATCCAGGGACTCCAGGATCATGACCTGAGCCGAAGGCAGTCGCTTAACCAACTGAGCCACCCAGGCGCCCTAAAGATTTTATTTATTTATTTGAGAGAGAGAGAATGAGAGAGAGAGCACATGAGAGGGGGGAGGGTCAGAGGGAGAAGCAGACTCCCCGCCGAGCAAGGAGCCCGATGCGGGACTCGATCCCGGGACTCCGGGATCATGACCTGAGCCGAAGGCAGTCGCTTAACCAACTGAGCCACCCAGGCGCCCCTGTGTGTGATTTCTAAATAGGTGTATGCTATGGGAGCCACACTGCAGAGCTAGCAGATGCTCCACAAAAAATACAAAAATGAACTGTATTACTTGTAGGAGGCTAACTTGCTGGAACAAATGGACGCAGAGATACAATGGCTGAAATCCAGCAAAATTTATCACTCATGACACATGGCAAATAGTCCAAGACATCAACAGCTTTCTTCTACCTGAGAAATCATGCCCCACGCTCCTTCCTCTGAGATGCCGCTTCCTTGGGACCTCTGTCTTGAAGCACCTGGGTGGCTCAGTTGGTTGAACATCCAACTTTTGATTTTTTTGTTGTTTGTTTGTTTGTTTTAAGATTTTATTTATTTATTTGAGAGAGAGAATGAGAGACAGAGAGCATGAGAGGGAGGAGGGTCAGAGGGAGAAGCAGACTCCCTGCTGAGCAGGGAGCCCAATGCGGGACTCGATCCCGGGACTCCAGGATCATGACCTGAGCCGAAGGCAGTCGCCCAACCAACCGAGACACCCAGGCGCCCCGAACATCCAACTTTTGATTTCGGCTCAGGTCTTGATCTCAGGGTTGTGAGATGGAGCCCCTCATCGGGCTCCACGCTCAGCGCGGAGTCTGCTTTTCTCTTTCTCTCTCTCTCTCCCCCCTCTCCCTTTTCCTTTGCCCCTCCTCCTGGTTGTATTCTCTCTCTCTCAATTAATTAATTAATCTTAGGGCATCTGTCTCTCTGTGTCCAATTAGAGGAAGGGGAAAATAAGTGTGAACACTTTCTTAAAGAGCTACACCCAGGGGGCCGCCTGGGTGGCTCAGTCGGTTAAGCATCAGCCTTCGGCTCAGGTCGTGATCCCGGGGTCCCGAGATCGAGTCCCGCATCGGGCTCCCTGCTCAGCGGGGAGTCTGCTTCTCCCTCTCCCTCTGCTTGCTACTCCCCCTGCTGTGCTCTCTTACTTTCTGTCAAATAAATAAATAAATAAATAAATGAGTAAATATCTTTAAAAAAACAAAGAGCTACATCCAGGCCTGGCACGTATGGGTTCCCTTCATGTTTTATTGGCAGAGATTTGTCACGTGGTCACATATGACTTCTGGGGCTGGTGGGAAATGTAGTTCCAGGCTGAGCAGCTGCTCCAGCCACAACTCTGTTGATTCAGATGAGGAAGATTCAGGTGGACGGCTACTGTCTTCATCACATAGATGGAAAGAAAGAAAATGGACCATCACAAAAAATGTAAGAATGTTACTAATAAGAGTGCCTCTGGGGCCCCTGGGTGGCTCAGTCAGTTAAGTGTCATGATTCCAGGGTCCTGGGATCGAGTCCCACTTCTGCCTCTCCGTGATCTCTCTCGCATTCCCACTCTCTCTCTAATAAATAAGTAAATAAAATCTTAAAAAAAAAAAAAAAAAGAGTGCCTCCAGCTCCAGAACATTTTATAATTACTTGCTAGGTAAGGTCAATACCTGACCACATGTACCCTTAAACATTTCAGATAGAAGCCTGTTCATAAATGGAAAACATGGGACCATGATCAGGTGATTATATGTTGCTGGTTTATCAAAACCTTGATTAATTTTTAAAAAATATTTAAGAAATCTGACAACTAGGTAAGTAATATTAACAACAGTAAATCATGGGAAGGTGTCAGAATTTTTCAATCAGAGCAATTTTTTTCACACCAGCAAATTTTTTTCAATGTCTTTCCTGTGCTAAATACTTTGGGGTTATATAAAAAAAAGATACTGTCGGGCTGCCTGGGTGGCTCAATCATTTTGGGTGTCTGACTCTTGGTTTTGGCTCAGGTCATGCTCTCCGGGTGGTGGGATCGAGCCCTGTGTCAGGCTCCACATTCCATGGGGAGTCTGCTTGAAGATCCTCTCTCCTTCTCCCTCTGCCCCTCTCCCCTACACTCTCTCTCTAAAATAAGTAAATAGCCCCTCTCCCCTATACTCTCTCTCTAAAATAAATAAATAAATCTTTAAAAAAAAAGATGCTGTTCTTTAAAATTGTATGTATGTATATATGCAATTAGGAGTTAAATAGAAGTGATGCAACACAACGATACTGTTGACTGCCAAATGGATTACACAGAAAAAAGGTAGGTATGGTCAGAAGGCATAGAGAAAGCCGGATTCGAGCCAAGTCTTAAAGTGTGGGCGAAGTGTTGATAGGCATAATGGCTGGGAAGACATTACATGCACGAAAGGTCCTGAAGCAAAAGAGAATGAAACGTATGTGAGGGACAGAGGGGAGATCGTCATGAATGAAGAAATGGTTAACAGCGATTCATTATGGTGGTGACTGTCCATGAGCAGGGTGAAGTGGGAAAAATAGGGAGTTAACCTTCTGCTCCCTAGGTGGAAATGAGGAATGAGGTGGAAGTAGGGTGTAGCTTAAAAAGCTCCTTAAGTTAGGCTGGCACACCTCTTTACTGAAACATTTTGAAATACCATTTAAATAGGTTAATGGTTAAATAGGTTAATTTGGGGGCACCTGGCTGACTCAGTTAGTAGAAAATGGGACTCTGCATCTCAGAGTTGTGAGTTCAAGCCCCACATTGTGCGTGGAGAGAGAGAGAAAGAGAGAGAGAGATAGACAGATAGATAAAATTTGCTTATTGAAAATATTTGGGGCGCCTGGGTGACTCAATTGGTTAAGCGTCTGCCTTCGGCTCAAGTTATGATCCCAGGGTCCTGGGATCGAGCCCCACATCAGGCTCCCTACTCAGCAGAGGTCTGCTTCTCCTTCTCCCTCTGCCCCTGCTCCTGTGCTCTCTCTCTCACTCACTCTCTCTCTTTCAAATAAATACATAATCTTTAAACATTTTTTTTTTAAATGAAAGAAAAGAGGGGCACGTGGGTGGCTCAGTCGTTAAGCATCTGCCTTCGGCTCAGGTCATGATCCCAGGGTCCTGGCATCGAGCCCCACATCAGGCTCCCTGCTCCACGGGAAGCCTGCTTCTCCCTCTCCCACTCCCCCTGCTTGTGTTCCCTCTCTGTGTCTCTCTCTGTCAAATAAATAAATAAAATCTTAAAAAAAAAAAAAAGAAGAAAATATTTGACTTCTTTTTTTCAAGTCTGGAGTAGGCTTTAAATTTAAAGCACTTGGGGCGCCTGGGTGGCTCAGTTGGTTGGGCGACTGCCTTCGGCTCAGGTCATGGTCCTGGAGTCCTGGGATTGAGTCCCGCATCGGGCTCCCTGCTCAGCAGGGAGTCTGCTTCTCCCTCTGACCCTCCCCCCTCTCATGCTCTCTCTCTCTCTCTCTCATTCTCTCTCTCAAATAAATAAATAAAATCTTTAAAAATAAATAAATAAAAAATAAATTTTAGGGCGCCTGGGTGGCTCAGTCGTTAAGCGTCTGCCTTCGGCTCAGGTCATGATCCCAGGGTCCTGGGATCGAGTCCCACATCGGGCTCCCTGCTCCGCGGGAGGCCTGCTTCTCCCTCTCCCACTCCCCCTGCTTGTGTTCCCTCTCTCGCTATCTCTCTCTCTGTCAAATAAATAAATAAAATCTTAAAAAAAAAAAATTAAATAAATAAATAAATAAATAATAAATTTTAAAGCACTTGAAAAATATTTCAGGCTAACATTAAGATTCTACTTAGCATGATGGTGATTGGTACGATTCACTTAATAAGTAGCCCATAGATGATTGAATTGATAAACTGCTTGGTAAACACCTTAAGGTAGGTTTGCAGAATAACTGCAGGGTATGCAGAATTCTAAATTTTTTAAATCAATTTATGTATTTATTTATTTATTTAGAGAGAATGAGAGCATGAGCCAGGGGCAGGGCAGAGGGAGAGGGAGAGAGAGCTTCCCAGGCAGATTCTGCACTGAGCGCCAAGCCAGACGCAGGGCTTAATCTTACAACCCTGAGTTCATGACCTGAACTGAAATCAAGAGTCAGACGCTTAACCAGCTGAGCCAACCAGGCACCCTAGGGTAAGCAGAATTCTAAAGATAGCCCCCAAGATTCCTGTCCACTGGTTATTCAATCAAAACTAATCTAGTAATGCCGCGAAGAGATTTTGAAAATATAATTACAGTCCCAAGTTAGTTGACCTGAAGATACAGATAGCCCTTTCAAGCTGAGCTTTTTCTCTGGCCAGTAGCAGAAGAGGAAGTCAGAGAGACTAAAAGTGAGGGGCTCCACGTGCCATTGCTGACTTTGAAGATGGAGACCATGTGAGGAGTGCGGGTAGCTTCTAGAAGCAGATAGTGGCCCCTAAATGACAACCAGCAAAAAAATGGGGACCTCAGTCATAAGATACCAAATTCTACCAATAACCTAAATGAAGTTGTAAGCAGATTCTTTCTGAGAGCCTCCAGAAAAGAGCCCAGTCTAGCCAACACTTTGATTTTGACCTTGTGAGACTCAGCAGAGAGCCCAGTTGAGCTGCCCAGACTTCTGACCTACAGAACTATGAGCTAATAAATGAATGTTGTTTTGAACTGCTATGTTCATGGTGATTTGTTACATAGCAATAGAAAACCAATATAAATGGATACCTGAATTCAATTTAAGCAGAGGTGGTGTACTTCAAGACTCCGTTCTAATCCTCTGTGAAAACTCCTGATCCTCCCCAGAGTGATCTTTTTCTCTCTCTAATCCTAAAGGACTACATTTTTATCATTCTGGAGTTAGATCTCACATATTGCCTGGCACTTTGTGTACCCGACCTTCCTTTTGCCCCTAGGTGGTAAGCTCCATGATGGAAAGAATCAGCTCTTTACAGTTTCTCCTTCTAAAAGTCTGGGAACGTCAGAAGAGGTGGTGGGCAAGCCAGGTTTTTAAGAATTTTCTGTCCACAAAAGCAAACTAAATATTCTTGAGAGGGAGCAAATGGCTCTCGTTTTCTCTTGGTAAATAAGACTGAGACAACATTCAGTTGCTAAGATCAAGGTTACCGATCTCCTGTGAGTGCCAGCCTGACTGGGGTGCTATCACTCCATAATGGGCAAACCAGAATGACTGGTCTGACTCAGAAAGGTATCATTGAGACCCTTCCAGTTATGAGTCTGTTTTATTCTTAGTGCCAGTTAGAACTCCACCACCATGGCTCCATCCTGCCCCTGTTTGCTGCGGGGCCAATGACCGTGGCAGGGTGACGAGGCCTGGGCTTACAAATTACAACGTTCTTTTCTTAGGTAATCATGTGAAAACAGTCTTGCTAGCCTCTAGATGCAATATCCTTTACTTCTGAGAAACTCCTTAAGGCACGTGTGTTTCTCATATGGGTGGATTTTATCATAAACTCTTACCTGTATGCATGACCCACTAATGCAAATAACTTAAATTCTAAAAGCACATTTTATATAGCGATAGACCGATTCTGTAACAAATTAGCAATGTGTTCACAGAGTTCTGCAAGAAGGCATGGAGGGCCTGCTCCAGAGCTAGGAAGTAATTTCTCTTTAATTCCTCCCGTGGTGGCAGAGGAAGGACGACCTTTTGGTGCCGGAAGGAGTGATCGGACAACCCCTGAAATAGAAGTTTTGCTTGGGACCGTTCCTGAGGTTGGAACGCCCGGTTTTCAGAAACTCTCATGACCCTCAATGGTGATTTTATTTGTTAAGGTTCAGAAACTAAATCAAATGCAAGTTTGGAAGAGATTTTTCAGATAAAATTTACTAGCAATATTTTTACTGGCCTCATGCATGCTACAATGACCTTTTATTTTTAGATTGATCTATCTTCCCCTTTTCCAGTTTTGCAGTAATTTAGAAAGTATCCTGAAGTTCTCCTGCTCAGCAGCAATGACCCCCTCTCCCCCCATTCAAGTCAAAATCTGGGATAGTCTCCTTCAAAATATCTTTCAAAACCACTCTCAGGGCGCCTGGCTGGCTCAGTTGGTAGAGCCTCTGACTCTTGATCTTGGGGTCATGAGTTCGAGCCCCACCTTGGGTGTAGAGATTACATAATACATGCATACATAAATACCATTCTCATTTCTCCATCCTTCTCCTCACTGCCTTGGTTAGGGTCCCCAGTATTCCAGCCTTTCTCTCCTGTACACCAGACCCGCATGATTTTTCTAAAACATCAGTCCAGTTCTGTTTCACTTAAAATCCTCTGTCCCACTGCCATCAGAGGCTACTTCACATGCTCCAGCTAGAGTGGTCATGCCTTTGGTTCACTTGTCTCCCCTCTTCACCCTCTTTCTTTATTTCTTCAGTGCTTCTCAAAGTGTAGTCCTTAGACGAGCCCTAAAAAAACCGCCACTTGGGATGCCTGGGTGGCTCAGTTGGTTAAGCATCGGCCTTTGGCTCAGGTCATGATCCCAGAGTCCCGGGATTGAGCCCCACATTGAGCCCCACGTCAGGATCGCTGCTCCGTGGGGAGTCTGCTTCTCCCTCTGCCCCTCACCCTGCTTGTGCTCACACTCTCTCTCTCAAATAAATAAAGAAAATCTTTGAAAGAAAGAAAGAAAGAAAGAAAGAAAGAAAGAAAGAAAGAAAGAAAGAAAGAAAGAAAGAAAGAAATCACCACTTACTAAAATTACAGATTCCTGGATCCTGTCTGAGGTCTACAGAATCAAAAACTATGGGACGTGGGGCCAGAAATCTGCACTGTTAAGGTCTGCGCTGATGCTCAGCCAACACGGCAGTTTTCCAAACTACTTCTTCAATGTCCCACATTCTCTCTTCTTCATGCCTTTGTGCTCTGTGCCCTGCACAGACACACACGCTTCTTTGGCTAGCTGAATTTGGACTGTGTGCTTCTAGAATTGTTCTAAAAGCTCTTTAAGAGTCACCTTTAGGAAGCCTGCCCTGACTCCCCTAGGCTCCCTTAAGGCAAAGAATTGCAGTTTGTTATTGCTGCCAGTTACCTGTCTGTCCATGGTCAGGTTAAGCCTTTTACAGGTAGGGGCTGTATCTTTCATCTGTCCCTAGACCCTGGCAGAGTGCTGGGAATGTTGTGGTGATAAGTATTTGTGAGTGTGTGAAGAAACCAACAAATGCACAATTTTTATATCTTATTAGGAAAACCATAATCTGATACAAGAGCTAAAAATTAAAAGGAGTTCGTAAACTGAGGGAATTTGTGCTTTGCTCTAATGGATAGTCATATATGGTAATTGTCATTTAATAGATGAAAACTATAGTTGTAGATGAACTTTTAATTTCTTCCTGATGGTGTCCCGAGTTCTGATGCACTGTGCTATAGGAAAGATGGATTCATCTGGGAGTTGGACAGTCCTGGGCTCACACCTCAGCCCTGCCAAGTACCAGCTGTGTGACTTCAAGCAAGTTGCTTAATTTCTCATTATGTGAGTCAGAAAAGTCTTTTACATATGCAGAGGAAATAATATATCTACTCATAGAGGGAAAATGGGATGTAATGAAATAAAATGTGTAAGACATGGCAGGTGGTGAAAAAAAGGCTTATTCTCTCTCATTTATCGTCAGAAAGGAGCTTAGATTGTTACTGAGTGTCTACTGTATGTCAAGTATTTTATTAGATATTGGGGATGGAAGAGGAATACAAAAAAATATACATAGAATCATGTCTTCTTACTTAAGAGATAGTGTTTCAAAAGAGCTTATGATGTATTAAGGATTATAAATAAACTCATAAATCAATTTTATTAATTTTTATAAAAAAACAAAGATCTCAGCTACAAGGAGATTGCTAGTTACCTTCCAGAATTCATCTCTCCTTATTCCATAGGGCTAGAACCCCTCAGTGTAAGTCAAGTAAATGGCCACGTGGAAAAAAATATGACATTTCCTAGCGTTCTTCACTATTAAATGTGATCATTTGCCCAAGTTCTGACTAATGGGATATGAATATAGCATGAGAAAATTTCAGAAAACATCCTTAAAGAGAGGGAACATGCTGTCTTTCTCCATTTTCACCTTTCTACTAATGGCCTGGGACCTTAATGGTTGGAGCTAGAGAAGTCATTCTTGGGCCATAGTGTAGAAGCTGTGTATTGAGGATGGAGAAGCAGCAGAAATCCAGAAGCCTGGTCTCTGATGATCCCATGATACCATCATACCAGCCCCAAATTGCCTATATTTATTTGATACACAAATAAACGTTAATCCAGTATTGTTTGGCTTTTCTTCATTCACAGCTGAAGTTAATCCTAAACAATACAAACTAATACTGACTCACAAAACTTCAAGCCGTCTTTAAGTTTTTAATGGAGAAAGGCTTATGTTATAATGATGAATGAGAACAACGTAGGAGACCAAACTGTGTATGCGAAAATACATGGAAGATAGAAATAGGAAGGAAATATGCCAAATTCTTAACTTTTTGGTTTAGGGTGGTAGGGTTTTTTTTCCTGTTTCATGTTTTTTTGTACTTAATTTTTTAACTTAAAAATTTGTATTTTCAATCTTTTTGAGCGGATATACATTTGAGCTCAATTGGTAGCAACCACTGAATACAGTGTTTTCTTTATCAACTAGTCTTTTAACCTTGACATTATTTCTTTTTTTTTTTATTAAAGATTGTACCTATTTATTTGAGAGAGAGAGCACAAGCCAGGGGAGAGGCAGAGGGAGAGAGAGAAGCAGGCTCCCCGCTGAGTTGGTAGACTGACGTGGGGTTGGATCCCAGGACCCTGGGATCATGACCTGAGCCGAAGGCAGATGCTTAACCGACTAAGCCACCCAGGCACCCCAACTTTACATTATTTCTTATACCTATAAGAGAGAATAACATTGTGGTTGAGTCCGTTGGTCCTGGGCTCAGTAGCATTTTCTGGCTGTTCAAACTTAGGAAAGTTACTTTTCTGAGCCCCAGTTTCTTCATCTGTAAACTGGGCATGATAATTTTACCTATTTCGTAGGATTATGGCTTGAATTAAATAAGTAATGGATATAAAATCACTTAGCGCCATGCAAATAGTAAGCAGTCAATAAACCCTACATAGGGGCACCTGGGTGGCTCAGTCAGTTGAGCATCTGCCTTGGGCTGGGGTCAAGATCCCAGGGTCCTCAGACAGAGCCGCCCCCTCCCCCTCCTCGACATTGTTGTCTTCATCATTGTCATCCTGGCTCCCTGCTCAGCAGGGAGTCTGCTTCTCCCTCTCCCTCTGCCCCTCCCCACCGCTCGTGCGCGCTCTCTCTCTCTCTCTGCTCTCTCTCTCTCAAATAAATAAACAAAATATATATACATATATATATTCTAAATAGCCTTGGTGGGAGCAAAAAAATCCCCTAGTTTTCAGAAAAGAAGACAATAGGCTGGAAGAAGTATCTGTGTGGGTGGTGGAAGGGATGGGATGATTACTGAGGGAGGGTCTTTTTTTTTAGATTTTATTTGTAAGTAGTCTCTACACCCAACATGGGGCTTGAACTTACAACCCCAAAATCAAGAGTCGCATGCTCCACTGACTGAGCCAGCCAGGCGCCCCAAGGGAGTGCCTTAAGGGATAGTCTCTAGAATTAGGAGTTGATACAAAAAGTCATCTGGATATTCCAGATGGATATGAATTCAAGTAGTAAGTTTTTCAGTTTTCCCTAATATTTTCCTAAGATTGCTCAAGGGTTTATTTTCATTGGAAATTATATTTTAACAGAAGTGTAAAGTAGTTCCATGCTCAATGATGAAAGCAAAACCATAAAAGAAATCTCAAGAGGGCTAAAAGTAACTCAAGGAAAGAAGTCAGCATGTATTTTTTTAAACAATGGGAAGAATTCCCATTTGTTTGTAGTTAAATACTAATAAAGTCTGACTTTCCACAAAGGGATAAATAGTCTGTCATTACTCTTACAAAGAGACAATCTGAGTAACTGGAGAACTAATTTGTTTTAACCACGTTTTTGAAAAGTTATTTTTGTGTCAGAAGAAGAGTTCACCCAATATTCCATATGCTTCCCCAAATTTCCCAGCCTCCTCTGTTGTCAGGTGAGGGCCATGTGACTAGGTCTTCACAGGAGACGAAGACAAAGTGATATGCTGTGCGCCCCTTCTGGTCTGAGATTGGGAGTAGTGGGGATGGAACCATGTATTGAAATGGTGGTGTCACAAGAGATGGAGCCTAGATTCCTAAGTCACCAAATGGAGGAGAGCTCCACCAACCTTCTTTGGACTT